ACTCCCCATTTTGACCCGCATCTTCCCATCCCCGTATCTGCATCCACATCATGAGCTCCTGAGGGCAGGCCTCGTGTTAGCCTGCCTGACGGTCTCAGAGCAAAGCCTCCGGGGTACAAAGACAGTACAAGGGCCCCAGCTTGGGCTCAATGATGAGGGAAAGAAAGAACAGAAAGAACAGGAAGAAGGAGGGAAGGGAGCAAGAGAGAGATTGAGGGAGAAAGAAAGATAGATGCAGGAAGAAGCAGCTTGAGAGAAGTTGGGGGAGCTAGAAGCCCAGGGCTGGGAAGTGCTAGACCCAGGGCCCTGAGAGGAAGTGCCAGGCTTACTGGGGACCCGGGGGGGGGCAGCTGGTTGTTTGGGGGTCCTCCAGCCCATTCCCAAGACTTGTGCTGCCCTTGGAAGATGGGGCTCATCTCAGTGACTTTCCCCTTTGCACTGCTGGGAAACAAAGGAGTTACCTAACTGGTTTCAAGAAACAGAAAGAAAGAAAGGAAGAAAGAGAGAAAGAAAGAAAGAGAAAAAAGAAAGGAAGGAAGGAAGGAAGGAAGAGGGAAAGGGAAAGGAAAGGAAAGAAGCCCCCCTGAATCAAACCGAGCAGCTGTGCCCGGAAGCCCATGAACAGGGCCCGGGGGTGCAGGCCCAACAGGCTCCAGACACACACCCACCCCTGGTTCATTCCTCTGCAGCTGAATCTAAAGGCCCTTTGCCAATTAACGTCTCTGTGTGCACGAGTTCGGTGGGATATCCTGCAAACCTAGAGTCCACTTGCCCTAGTAGGAAATGTCCTCATTCTCTTTCAAGGATGACTTCCTTCTCTGGCTCCTTCAGCCCTGGAAAACCTCACACCAAGCCTTTCTCAGATGAACACAACCCTTTCTCGTGGAGAGAAACCCCCTGCCCTGGAAGGAAGTTTTCTGGGGCGTGGATGGAGAAACGGATGGCAAAGGAGGAGTTTTCTTCTCACCAATGAAGAAAACGAAGATGCCCTTCCTGGGGAGAGGGTGCGGGGACCAGGCCTTCTCTTCGCCCCTCTCTCGCCTGCACAAATACAGACAGGCTAACCAAAATTACAGAAGAACCCTCCAGCACAAAGGACTCGTTTGACCTATGATCAAACTGAGGCCCAAGGTCACAGCCAGAGCATCGCAGAATAAGGTGGCCAGTCTGCAGACAGCCTCTGCAGCAGGGTCGGGGTGGAGTGCTTGGGGCGGTGGGCGAGGAGACTGAGCCAGGGCCGTGTGGCCACCCATCCCTCTCTAAACTGCCTATTTGGCTCCATGTTCTGGTTTTTGAACCGGACCTTGACCTGCTGAGCCTCAAGGCCCACTGGGCTGGGCTGGAGGCAGGTATGGCTGCAGAAGGAAGTCCTTCTCCGACTCAGGCAGCTGCTTCTCAGAGAGGCTGGTCGCAGAGGGCTGGCGTGAACCTCCATCTCCCTCCCCTGGGCCAGGGCAGCCAGCGGTGCGGGGCGGGGGGGGGGGGAGGCCAAGGCCAAGGTAGGCTGGGGGGTGCCCGTGGGGCCCCCGGAGACCGGGAGACCCCACCTCAGCCATAGCCCACAGCGGGCCTCTTTCCCTCCTCCTTCCTCCTCCTCCCTCCCTCCTCCGAATTGGGATCCCCTTTCTGTTAACCCGGCTTCCTGCTCTCCTTTCCTCTTTCTCTCTTTTTATTTCTCATTTTTTCCTTTCTTTTGCTTGCTTTCTTCCCTCACCTTCCCTGCTTTGTCTCTATCTTCTTCCCTCCCTTCACCTCCCTTCGGCCTTTCCTGTCCTTCTCCCTTCTGTTTCTTTTCTCTTTTACTTTTTTCCTTCCGGCTTCCTTTACTTTCCAGCTCCCTCTTTCATTCCTTTGTTTTGTCTTTCCTTCCCTTCTGTCTTTTTTCCCTCTCACAAAACAAACGAGTTCTGCTTCTTCATACTGTTCTTCATCAAAATTTCTTCATGGTCGCCTCTCTCTCACCCACCCTCCTGGAGGCCCTTCCTCTGTCCCCAGTGTCGGGGCTTTTGCAAATCTTTTCTTCCCCCCACCTATCTTTTATCTTCGCTGTTTTCAAATTTTTCCAGTCCTTTGTGCTGTTTCCTCGACCTTTTTTTCCTCTCTTCCTTTGTGTCTAAATCCTCTCTCTGCAACAGGCATATAGCAAAAAACCGCCCCTTCCCCGGGTTGGGGCTCTGTCCTATAGCAGGCCAGCCATCCTTCATGCCGTTCTTTGTCAAATTCCCTCAACTTGGGGGCCAATTTCAAGGGTCCAGGAATGGGGCGGTCCCCCCTGGCTGAGAAGTCAGGGCTGAGTCCACAGCTCCCCACTATAGGCTTAGAGGAGCCTTACCAAACTGTTGTCTCTCTGTCAATCCTGATAGAAAAGAGAAAGAAAAGAAAGGACGGAGTAAAAGAGAGACAACCCCACAGATCGTAGGAGGAGAGCGGGGGAGTGTTGGGGAGTCAGGGGAGAAAAGGGCCGGATTCATCAAGAGGAGGGCAAAGCCTAGAACCAGGCACCTTCTCTTTAGTGCACCCAGAGCTTGGGCAGCTCGCAAGTAGAAGCCCCAGCTGGCTCTGGGGTCAGTTCCGGGATTGGGGTGGGATGAGATCCTCCTTCCACTCCACTCCTCTGCTGGAGAGGTGGTAGGGCCACAGAAGGGGAGGAAAGAAAAGGGCTTAGTTTGGGGGTATCAATCACCTTTATGTCTGCTTCTGGATTCATCTTTCTCAAGGCCCACACTCTGGAGACCACATCTCTGGGCAGTGCGCGCTGGGCCCTCTTAAACCTCTTAGCGAGGCAGGCCCGATCCCGGGGCTCCAGGAGGAGCAGGTACCCCACAGCCACTGCATTGCCAGCGGAGAAACCTCGGGCGCCCCCCGCGAAAACAAAGGCCTGGGCAGTTTTGAGCTCCTGAGGGCGCAGGGCCAAGCGGCCTCTGGAGGTACGGGCTGGGCATGGGCAGGGACACCAGGCGCTGGTGTGAGAATGGTCCTTCCTGGGATACACAACCCCTCCTGGCCCTCTCCAAGAACTAGTCCAAATTTGCAGGCTACCGCCTGCCCGGCTCTTCAGGGCCGGACCCATAAACCTCAGGTGCCAAGGAGATGTCCGGCCCAGACCGGGCCTCCCATTCCGGGCACGCGGGGCTCGAGAGTTCCCCGGGCCCTGCCCGTGCACCCGCCGCGACCTTCGCCCTCACCTGCTTTCCCAGA